ACATGGCTACCACTTCTGTCAGATAGATTAGATTAACGCAGACATAGTATGCTCCTCTTCCTGGCTATATATGTTCTAAGGTCACGTAACTGGCATACAATGAATATTTTTATGCCAATAGCCATTTATTTATTTGTTAGCGACGTTAGCGTTTGACACTTAAGGTTATTTGGAAAAATCCGCCAACGGTCGAACGGGCTATTTTTTTTTTTTAATTATTTTAGACCTTCTGAAACACATTTCAAAATACTTTCTTTGTCCTGCAAATGCTATAAAATATTTTTTTCTTACCTTAAAACTATTAAACTGTGTCCTCCAATTTCGATGTTGAAAGAATTTGAATTACATCATTTTGATTAATTTCTTGTTATAGAAACTGCTAAATAATAATACTAGACCATCCATAATGCAATAAACCGTCCAATTTTTTTCGTAAACAGTTTTCTTACTTTAAGCCCATGTTTAGGATAGTCGGATTTTTTAATTAACACTATGACAATTGACATTTGCAGTGTGACATGTGTCTAAAAGAAATACAATATCTATTACATAGCAATGGTAATTTTTACCTATGCCCTGCGTTGTACCAGGCCAACCAATTGACTTCAGTATCAGAAAAATTATATAAAACTAACGATTTAAAAAATACCCACATCAAGATCTTCTTCCCAACTTTTAACGAACGTATCTTGTATCGTGGGCGTCTAACATTATGAAAATATACAATAAGAAAATGAAGCAACGACTTCTTGTAGGTTTAAAGGGAAAAATTATCCACAGTCAAGGTCGGAAGATTATAAAAAATATCGCATCTTTTATGCAATTCGAAGCTGAAGATGGAATTCAAATTCTTTTAAAAAATTATTGGTAAGTAGACTAAAAAAGTATAATACCTACTATTTACTGGTAAAACGACTACCCTGGGTGTGTGTGGTGTGAAAAGGTGCAGCCGTTTAAACAATATATTATTTAAATTTTGATCCAGGAAAGTCGTGTGTAGGACACATACCGTTGCCACCTGTCCTTTTTTGAAAAGGACAGTTCTTTTTTGAAGCAAAATGTCCTTGCGATTTTTTAAGGGTTAAATTTACTTTTTACGGCAAATGTCTTTATTTACAGCACATATATTTGGAAGGAATATGGTTTTGTACAAAAATGTATATGCTGAGAACATTTTTTTTTTTCGGTAGAATGACGAGGAGGATTTTTTTTTGTTACAAGCTCTGCAACCTTTTTTTTTAAGGATGAGGACTTTTTATATACCGGAGCCCCTGTCAGCATCGTAGTCTTTTATTCGCTTTCCAAAAGGGTGGCAACCCTAAGAACAATTCAGATTTTTATATTTTTTTTGTCTGATTTTAAATGGACATCGCCCTTTTGTATGATATATAGATAAAATTACTGTAAGTTTTCATAAATTTTCCTCATTATAAGTCTTTAATATATAATTTTTTTTTTAATTTTTGGGGTTGTCGGTTGCCTAAAATGTAAGTATTGGAAAAAAATTGGATTTTTATATATACTTACAATTTAGATAAAAAGAAATATAAATAATATAACAGGACTTGATCATAGGTAAGTAGTACTTCAAATACCAACTGAACATTATTTTAACATAATATCAGTGCTTGACAAACAGTTACATGAAATAAATTCACGAAGCATGAGATTTTTTTAATGATAAAATTCAATTTATTCTTGATTTGCACATTTTAATTGGCCGGTGTGTATTTTAATTATTACTAACCATTTTTTTTCTTGACGCAAACCACGTTAGCTATTAATTATATCTGTATTATAATAATTAGTAGGTAAATAATGAATTATGTGTAGATGAATTAACATTTGAAGGAGGCAAGTGTTCGTTTTTGGTCAATTTCAATATAGTGTAAGAGGTATTTTTTGAAAGAAATTGAAAGAGAAAGCATTATACAAAAAAAGTCTATATTTAGAAAATTCAAAATGTGGAAATTAGAACACAAGACTGAGTGGTCCAAAATAAATGGAAGGATAAATTTTAAACTGTATATAATCTACATATTGTAGCAAATCTAAAATCTAAAACAATATTTTTAAGTCAATCACGGTTGCTTTCCAGCTTGTTTGAATAAAATAGGTATATTAGAAACCCCATACTGTGAAACGGATGGAGAAACTGCAGCTCTAATCCATATATGTTTTCAATGTGGCAAATATAACAATAACAAACTATTATTTAACCCGTAACTGGTGACGTGAAATATTTTAGCACTGTTGGTGACATGGAGTCTGCCAGACTCCTCAAAAATTAAGCATGGTAGGGCTTCAGGAATTTTTACCTGGGTTATAAATATTTTTCACAAATATACTCTGAGGTATTTTGAAAATGTTTATTGATCAAAAGAGTTACAACCAACAATTATTTTAATATTAAAAATAATAATACAAAAGAATGAACATTTGTAGTAAAAAAAACTAACTTAACTTAAATCCTATTTTTTATAAAAAAAATAACTGATAGAGTGTAAAAAAAAGTGTTTCTACAAAGATTATTACCTAACAAATACAACTGTATATAATAGTTGCGTTTAGTTACAAAATGACACCAAAACTACAAGTCTCTAAATTAGTCATTTTTTGTAAGGCATTCTCGGCACACTTTTTTGGCGCATTCTAATCAAATAGGTTTTTTGCATTGAAAACATTGGTATTTCGTTTTCCGACGCAGTCTGGATGGACATAAGTAACAATATTTTCTTTTTTCCAAAGTTTCCTCAACTTCTTCACTTTCTGGAATATTTAGAACACGGCCGATTCCTTTACGAATGTCAATTGAAATTCTCTTATTCAAATACCTACGTTCCAAATGCGGCCTTACAAGTTCCATGGCAAGTTGTTTCATAAAACCTAGACGTGTAATCTGGTTTCCTTTATAGGTCTGAAACATTATAGATGCATTTACTGTGCTCATATCTAGTATTTGAAAAAATACCGCCATTTGCCAACGCTGGGTTCGGCGCGATGAGCTATACACTGCACATTTCTCATCTAATGAGTCCACGCCTCCCTTTGTACTATTATGAAAGTCTATTATTTCTGGCTTTTCATTTATTGACAATTTAGAGTGACGCATGGATGATACTAATACGACGGCTTTACCTTTTTTAGGCACAAAAGATATAATAGTAATGTCTTTAGTGAAACCATATAAACACGAACCAACTTCTCGTTTTCTGTTTGGTAAAAAACATGGCGGTATTTCCTTTTTATTTTTTCGTAGTGTGCCTACGTATGTGAGTTTCATAGATTTTAGCTTTTCTACTAATTCAATCGAACTAAACCAATTATCGGCGGTAATATTTCTATTAGTGGCTTCAATTGGTTTTGCAAGCCTGATTACTGACTGAGTAGGTATTTTTAGTTTTTTTTCTTCATTGTTTAAGCCCATGCTATCAGAATCTTTTCCGTATAAATGTAACCATTATAAGCAAAACCGCTTCGAGCATCTGTAAGTAACATTACCTTTAAACGGTATTTCACTGGTTTTTGCGGCATATACATTTTAAATCTGCAGCGTCCCCTAAAGCCAATAAGCATCTCATCTATGGTAGTGTTTTCTCCTACAGTATACATCGATTGACAGTTTTGAAAAAACATGGTAAATAACTCACTAATTGCAGCAGCTGGATTTGATAATGCTCTCATAATCCTGTCTTCGGGATTGTCAAGTCTGAGGCATGCGAATAATACGGAAAATCTTTTTTCACTCATAACCAATCTAAAAATCTCTTTTCCCGTAGCAAATAAAGCTGAGATATGTTCATGATTAGACTTAAAAGCCAAACTAAATACTAGAAGACCCAAAAAAGCTTTCATCTCAACATAGTCCACATCCTTTAGTTCTGGTTTATCTTTTCTTTTGTAGCCATCTGCCATAGTTCGTAGTTTTACATTAGTCCATTGCACAATGCGATTTATCATATCGTCACTGAACAACAAGTTCCAAACTTTTTGAGGATTATTGTATTCCTGAATTTTTTCCGGTTGCCGTACGCCTGGCAAATGAACGATTAAATTGTGTGAAGGGGTTCTAACATGCCTTGTAGGTTCTTGACGCGACCATTTGTACCTATTTTTACCATAATAGTTTTTACTTGACTTTGATGTGTCGCTATTTCGCGGTTCTTCAAACACTTCTTCCAACTCTTCTTCTAACTCTTCTTCTAGTCCCTCTTTCAAATATTCATGCTGTGTCTTTGTGTTATTAATAAATTCCTCTTCCGTCTCAGATTCTGATAATAAGTCCGGAACTGTATCCTCACTTTCCATGTAAAAGTCTTCATCAACGTTATCGAGGTCACTGGACCGGCAGCTATCTTCTTCATACCACTGCATAAGAGTAGCATCATAATGTGGATCTCCAAATTTTACTCCTTTAGACGGTCCGGGTTTGTTTTCCATTTTTATTTTTCTAAACAGTAAAAAATAATGAGACCAAGTCATAAATTTTCTTTGTATACTTACGTTATTGGTGACGTGGAGTCTGCTGGACTCCTCGGAAATTTCAAATGCACGTACTACCTATACTACGTCTTTCACGACACTAACGTTACCGCATGTGATTGCTGTAGGCATTGGTAGAAGGTACCTAGGAGGGGGAGTTCATATATGTTAAAATTCAAAGATGGCGTGATTCAAAGAAGTTGTTGGAGTCTGGCAGACTCCATGTCACCAGTTACGGGTTAATTTAAATAAATATAATATCAATCCACCTCTCAATATTACTACTTTACTCGCAACTTTCAATAAAGATGTTAATGATGTATTAGAATTTGTAAATGAAAATAATATCATGATCTAAATTATTACCTGTATCATACGTTAAAATCTAATTTAAAAAAAAAGTATCGTTTTGAGTGTGTGGCAAATGGCTTAAGGTCGATGCCAAAAAAAAATATACGAATAAATAATATTTTATTACTATAATTAAATCAATACAATAGGTAACAAATTATCCAGTAATACTTTTTAAACAAATTACTTCTATAGTTTATTTCAACAAATTAAGTAAGTAATTAACTTTATTATCAACTACTATTTATAAGTGTCTATTTTCCTGTTCAACTTTTTTATCGGTTTTGGAATTTCTTCACTAGTAGTCAATTTAAAGTCTATCTTCGGCATGTTCAATTCTAATGCTAATTCTTCATTTTCATCGAAGATCAACCAGTTTCTAAAAGTAACACAGTAACAAAAAATTAATTTGTAAACATATATATAAAAAATATCACATTATTTACAAAAGCTTGCAAGAATAAAATCGACTGATTTAAATAACATTAAATTTCAATTTGCAAACATTTCCAAATCCCGAAACTAATTAATTTACAGCAAAATGACGCTTTGTTTGTAATTTTTAGAAAAAAATTGCAAAAGTGTTGCAAACTTTAAGAAATATCTATAGTATTTTTATTATGAATCCCGTTGCACGTCTTCAATGACTTTAGACTTTCGTCATAGTACTACTAACTAATTAAAATTTCCTTAACTAAGCCAATAATCTGAAAAAGTCACGAATATTCACGAGCATTCATGAACGTAGTCATATTATTAAAAAGTCGAAAAACGTTACGGTTATTATTTTAATAATTTAAGAATTATTTCAATTATTTAGTTTAGATATGTCAAATTCTTAATAATATAAAATTTATAAAAATATTATATGTTTAGTACTCAAAAAATATTAGTTTACATAAAAAATTTTGACAACCACTTTTTAAAAAATTTCACTGATTAAGTTAGGTTATGTTTATGTTAACGAGTTGATTCTTGATTGTTCATTTTGTTTTCCGTAATTTAAAAACCTTTTGCGTGTATTTTTAAGCTTTGCTAGTTATACTTATAAAAAACTGTTTACTTCAAAACAACCATAGTGTGAATAAGCCACATACTTTGATTTTCTTTTACTATACGGAGAATGGTCGCACTGCGCAGCTTTCTGAGTGCCTTTTAAAAGGAGATAGAAAACTCCGCCATTTTGAACCCTTATTACGTGTTGCCATTACTGTCAGTGCAAATTGTCAATTTTATAGGTTATATTTTTACTGTCATTTGTGTAATTAAATTTGAATTTAATTTGTGTTTGAGCAAATTTTAAGTGTTACAAACTTATAAAGTATATAATGCCTTAATGTGTTATACGTTTCTGCTCTAGCGATAGACGTTTTTGTGAAAAATCGACTGCAATAACGTTTCATAGGTTAGTATCAAAATTATAAATATTATACAGGACAGTATTATGACACGTTTGTATAAAATGTGTAAAAGTATGCTTTTAAAAATGCAAAAAAAAATCATCTATCAACTTTTGGGCCTACCCATATTGGAATAATACTTTTTCATGTGAAATAATATTTATAGATTTTCAAAAAATCCTAAAAAACGTAGCGCGTGGATACAGTTTGTCAACAAGTATAATTGGTAACCTTCTAAATTCAGCAGTATATGTTTCAAGCATTTTCTTGAGAAGTACATTAATCGTACGCCATTTCGTTTATCAAATTTATAGGCATTTTATATTCTTATTTCTATTTAAATATAACCTACATTTGCTGTCCTTCCACCAATTTTATTTATTAGTTCTACAGCTGATTGAAAAGTAGAGCTTCATGTTTTGTGTATGCATGAGTATTGTTTGTTTTATTATAGTTAATTTAAAACAATATTAATATACCTTTTTAATTACCTATAATTTGTTTCAGATTAGTGCGTTTAAAGGAATTGGTGAAAATGAAGCGATTCGCCAACTTTGGGGATGTGCCAGAAAAGTGACATCAAAGTTATTCAACGGTTCCAGAATAAAGCATTAATGAACAGCGTCAATGCACCCTGGTACTGCCACAATACTGATCTTCATAGGGACCTTAAAGTGGAGACTGTTGAAAATACAATACAAAAATTTGCCAGTAGTCACCAACAACAACAACTGTTCCAGCATGGAAACTTCGAGATTATCCAGCTCTTCAACAATGCCAAATCTAATAAGAAGACTCAAGAGACCAAGCCTTTTGAGTTAGTTCAGTGATGTTAAAGCATAGTATAGTGCAGTTAAGTGATTTAGACTCTAAGGTATACTAGATAGTAGAATATCAATTTGTGAAGTTTTTCATCCCTTGATAAGTTAGAATAAAATTTCTAATTGATTTTAATGATTAGATTGTAATAATCGTAAATGTTTCTTTACTTGGGGCATTTATTAAAAAAAATGTTGCAAAACGCACTATACAAACTTAAATATCACATTTTCAAAACTTTTGGTTTTTTATCAACAATAATTATAAACGTCAGTTGGCTACTCAGTACTACACTTGTCAACTTCGTTTCCTTTTTATGATAAATTTAAATTAATAATATGCCAAAATAGTGTACATTTAATGATTTTGTCATGAATATTCGTGAGCTGCTTGTATGGAGTATTAGTGACAATTTCCATACCGACAAGTTCCAAGGCACCAAACATTCAGTGCTGTGTTTCGACATATTCCAACACATGGCATACTATGTTAATATATCTTTTGATATTTAAACTCTTGTAGCTTGGTAACCATGTAGAATTGGATATTTGTTCATAGGACATTTTATGCTTGAAATGAATTCAGGAATATGATATTTAAGTTTGTTATGAACATACTGTATATAAGTTCTTATAATAATAAATATTTAACATCAATACTCACTTAGTTTTTTTTTTAATGAGACTAGCAACAAAACCATAACCGTTAGTCTAGTATTAAAAATAAATATCACTCATATATATGGATAAGAAAATATTAAAACTTTATTCTTTGTACACTTTTATTTAATCACAGTACACATTATTTGCATTTACAATATTTGCTTGTCGTTCATATGCCCCAGTCTGTTTTGTTCACCTTTTCTAGTTGCTTTTTCTGCAAAACTTTAGTCCCTATTCTACCTTCACGTAGGTAATGAATTATTCAACCATTTAGTCAACAAAGGGGTTTTACTTGTTTTACAGTAAGATACTTATTACTTATCTTTAATGTTCAAGTTTTAGAATTTGAACTTGGTAAGCCATTTTCGTCAATTTTGTTCTTAGAGCTTTTGGAAAAACACTTGGGAAGTACTATTACAAATTTATTTCTTATTTTGCCTAGCGAAGAAATTGTGTATAAGGAAATATTCTGGTTTTTACCTCAGTGGTCAAGAAAAGCGCTTACAGTGGATACTTTTCCTAACTCGATAAACATTTATTACCTAGTTGTTGGCCTCCCTTTATCACCAGCCTACAATTTCAACTTTTTTGCTGTTAACTTTAACTTCATCTTTGACTTTAACTATGATTGGGACTTAAACTTTATCTTCACATTCTTTGTCTGACTTTCAATCAAACATGTATGATTATTGTGCACAGACCAATTAAATGGACCGGCATGCTTGTGGTGCATGTTGTGTGTTATACTACGGTAGGCCTTTACATAAGTAGCCATAATCTCTGCAGATGGTGAGAAGCCCAGCTCAAACCAACTACCATAATATCGTCATTAGATCTATAGGTCTCAAGTAAGATCTCTTCATATTTTACATTTGTTAGAAGTGCACCTGCACATCGCTGGTGTGGCTTCGCTGATTTACTGAATGTCTTGCATGAAGATATACACCTTTCAGTCTGAATCTACAAAAGGACCAAGACCAAGTAAGATTAATCCACATTTTGATTTCCTGAATAGTGCATCTACCTACACAGAGATTGCTTATTAGCCATTTTCCGCGAGCCTTGCATTAAGTTTCGTATCTGATTATCGAGCTTTTAGTGTATGAACATTTGTTCTTAATTTCGAGAAAGCTGTTAATTAAAGTAAGGTTAGATTACTTGACATTTGCGACATTGCGACCTTGTACTTTCCGATTTAAAGACAGAAAGCATCGGGCTCATAGAAAAACGAAAAACTAAAGATTGGGCTATTTATGTGCCCTAGTGCAAACGTGTGACGACTGATCCAATAAATCGAACTCTGTTTACTTTTGTCGCTTATGTGAACCAAAAATGTACTATTTATTTTTTCTGTGAATGATTTCAACGCTTTAGGGTTAATTTCACCATTGTGTTAAAGTTTAAACTATTAATTGAATATTAAAATTACATTTTATATAAAAATGTCATTTTAAACTTCGTTAAAGCCAATGGTGGAATCGGCCCCAAGTTATGGTCATTGATTAGTTGCAATTTTGCAAATAATATATTCTCCAGCGCTTAATAGCCACTTGAGTGATAATTAAATCAGTTAAATTTTATTTCTTTCATTTACTTTATTCAGCACCTCTCGGCTGAAAACCGGGCATATATAAGCTTTTAAATCCCCTTCTTTTATAACCTCGGTCTTCCACCACCTTTTAAGTCAATGTCTATAAAAAGGAAATTAATTTTTTATATAAAATTCAAATAATGATACTTAACCAGAAATAGTACAATAAAAACTTGTAAATCCGGTTCTGCTCTTCCGCCATTTTAGTGAGTGCAAAAGCCACGCCTACCGGTCCCACTTTTGTATATCAAAAATAATACATATGACGTATCCTTACGTTGCCTTATCAATGGTGCGCTTTAATCATCCGCTTCTGCTTCGGAATTGTCGGTTTTCTTGTTTTAATCTGACAGGTTAGAACGACTGAACCGACAATTCCGAAAGCATAAGCGGATGATTAAAACGCACCTGATATTCTGCTTGCTGGTGTCAGTGTCAGTGAATATTATTTTTGGAGTCACAGTTTATTGCTAAAGAATCAGTTAGCTCACTCGGACCAGTTCAAAGTTCCAAAATAACATCCACTCCAGGGATACAAATTCAGGATACGCAGAAGACTGCTGTTTTATTATAGGCGGTTGTCATATATTGTATTATCTGAGTTGCGCAGTGTATAAACTGGAACATTGAGATAAAAAGTGCCGACGCAGAGTGAGCGATCTGATTCTTTAGCTATAAACTGTGTCATAGGGTGCAAAATGGCCGCGCCTTATGTTGGGCGTGTCGGACCTCTCTCTTGCCCCGTATAGTAATCAAAGTATGTGGAATAAGCTGAGTATTTCTCGTTTATTTTTTATATACAAAATGCCTAAAAAACTAAATAGTCGTTGTCAGGAGTTGATAGCTTCTTTAATCCACTATTTTGAACGAGAGTGTGATGATGATGGACCACTTTTACCTTTAGCTA